TTTCGAATGACAGCATGAATAGCGGCAATGGTTTTTTATTAAGTTTACGAATTTTATTCTTGGTTAATTTTATTTCCTTCTTTATTATATTGACAGCTTCTTTACATTTTAATCCTTGACTTTGCAAGTCTTCAACAATATCTTCTGGTTTAGATGTAGATGGTTGACCTCTAACCATTACTTTAATGTCTCTGTTCTGTTTAATTTCATAGGAATGCCAATTTATTTCTTTGGCATTCAAGGTTGACATGACATTTTTGAAGTCTTCTTCTTGTTTAGTATTAATTTTAAACTAGTTATTGCTTAGAGCTGTGGCTTGAAAGGAAATATTATTTTCTGCCAGTGTATGGCGCAATTCTTCATACATATTATCGGGAGAAATTTCACTGTTTTTTCAACTATTTTTTCTCTTGTTTGCTTTCTCCTGGTTGACCAGGAGAGGTTTCTGGAGAGAAGTTGGCTTTTTTCTTCTATTGTTCCTGCTTTCCGTTATCCATTCTACTTCTTTGTTAATTTGATCGCCGATTTCTTTTGCCAGTTCTTCTTCATCAGTTTCATAATTCGTTGGAATTTAAGATTTTTTTTGTTCAAAATATTAATTTGTTTTTGCATATTTTCCATATTGTTTTGCATTTGTTGGAATGCACTTTCTAGTTGCTATTTTTCAGCTTTTTCCTGTATCCAAGCATTGTACAATGCCTGTTCATTCTGACTTCTAGCTTGATATTCATGAAATAAGGCCTGATATTGTTGGGCTAGGAGATTTTCTCCCACTTCCATTATTTCCATATTATTTGTTTGAGTTACCTAAAGCAGGTTCTGTTTTTTTTGCTCCAAAAGCACTTTGGCAGGTGTCGATTCTGTTTTATTATTTTTTTTCTACACATTGTAAAACTATTTTTAATGGCACATTATTATTTTTATTTTTGTTCTTAAACATTACCTTTTGCAATCATTGTTGATTTTTTAAACAGTCGCGATTAAAAAATATTTACACTACATACACAAACTAAACTGACCTAGTTACGGAGTAATGTTAATAAACATACATCCTCACCTATCGACAGCCGAATATAAACTACTGTTATAATTAATCACGCCACTAGCGAAAGGTTAAAAATGTAAGTTTTTTGGACTACTAATGTAAGAAGATTATTTTTTTTTTCTGGATAAGTTTAAATTCACTATTTCCGAAGGAAGATATTTATTACAGTAAGTTCAATACAAAGGTATTATCATTTGAATTTTAAGCAAGCAGTGGCAGTAGTTTTTAAATTCTAAACGAACAATTTCCCTACTTCGAGCGTTGTTCTAACAGATTTATGAACTTAATTGGCGAACACTTGCATCTGATAACTGGAGTCGAGTTCTGCATTAACAAAATTTTGTATTTAATCCTCCAAAGCTATAAGCTAAATTACATTCTCAAAACAAAACGGCACGGGTATTCGAAACAATAGCGACACATAGGCTGTGAAACAAAACATTCCGTCTGCTATCTGGGCTGGGAAACGGGCTTGTCATAAGTTCACGTTGGTATATACATTCATTGCAACTGTTTGAGATATTTCATCGAATCTCCGAGCTCAAGAACGTGACCCGTAAAGACTGTTTAAATAATGTCATTCGCCATACGCCGGTATTAACTCGGCTTGATTTTCTGAGCTTCATTTAAATTCTACTTTTGATATACTGATCCGTGTTGTTCGATTGTATGACAGGCGGTATTTGACTCTGCTAAATTTTCAGTTGTGTTCGTAACGCGGGATTTAAAATCAAGATTCCATTAAATAGAAACCAGAACGAAATTTGCAATACAATGGAATAACTAGTTCGCGATTGTGTTAAAGAGGTGATTTATCACTGCAAAACATTTTTAATGAATTCATTTTGCGATTGTTCGTGGAATTTACGGACAATGTTACATTTTTTAGTTTCTGATTTTAGAATTTTAAATCAGAAATTAGGTCACTATTGTTATTCGACAAATTTAATAAAAAGAATAAATCATTTTATTTCTTAATATCCTAGATTTTTGTTTATACAGTTCGTCAAATTTCTAGAGGTGTTCGACGCCCAGACAGAGAACGCGCTACGTGTGACTAAGATAGCTATTGTACAGTCTGCTAAACAAGTTATTTTAAATAGTTTTTAATATTTTTAGGTAATTAAATTTTAAAAGTGTGGAATAGTTTAGGGATAAAATTGGTCTGATTGGACTTTCTTAGAACGTTTTTAAAAGCAGCTAAAGATAGTATGTAGAATTGAAAATAATTATTATCCCATAAAAGGTGTTTTGGAATTCCTTCAACCTTTTGAAATTGAGTCAGAAAATATAAATTTTATAGGATAGCGGAAAATACCTATAATTTTTTTGTAGGCCTTTGTAAATCGTGGAAATAGTTTATATTTTATTTCTAGCTTATTAAGGAAAATGGTGCCCATTATTAATAACGGTTGTTTCTGAAACATTACTAACATTTTCGAAATTTTGTTTTTCTATAAAATAATAAACTATACTATTTAGAAAAAAATTTATTTCTCTTATAATTTTATAAAAAATAACAGGGGAATTTACATTTCTTGATCTATTAAACAAAACGATAAATTATCTCGACGAATGACACCATGTTCTAGTACGGAAGCTAGCTTTACATTTTTGTTGGTGGTTTCATGGGTTTCATATCAATTTTTTCTAATTGTAGTTTACACGTACATATACCTCTTAACACTTGTTTGCTTTATTAAAAAAGTGTGTTGTTGTGATTTACGTCGGAATAAGTCAAAAACAACTTGAAACCCCATATAAAATCAAAAAGGAGAAATGGAAAAAAATTGAGCCTGTAAATGAACACAACTCAGAAACAAAAATAGCTATCTAATAATAAAAAAGTAAAATTTGATTCTTGTGCATCTTCGTTGTAAAAATAGATAATACTTTTTTGATCTTAGGTACAGATATAATTTTAATGGTCTTCCGAAAAACTTTCTTCAGTTTCCATATCAGATTCAAAATCAGTCTCACTGTCACTGTTTAAGTTAATTATAAATCTATCAGTTGCCTCATCCAAAGTAACTTCTCTGTCATAAAATTTAGATTCCCACATTTTAGCATTATTACAACGTGATTGCCACTCCTCTTTAGAAAACGTATCAAAAAAGTCTTCACACAACAGTTGTACGTCTTGCCTCTTAAATGTAGTGTTGTTACTAGCTACATATTGTTTCAATGATGCCCACACTAATTCGATCGGATTAAGATCGGGATGATACGGTGGCAAACGCAAACAACTAAAACCATGTTCATTTATCATTTCTTCAATTGCATATCTCTTAAATCGTGACTTATGCAATAGCACTAAACTGTATAATTGCGTTTTGAGCATATCCTCTTCGTAAGCAATATTATGATTCCTTAACCAATCCTGCATGTCAGCTTTTTTAGAAGTTGACGTTGGTGCTTTATTTACCTGGACATTATGGTAAGGAGCATTATCAACAATAATGACGCTTCTTGGAGGGAGGTTCGGAAACAGCTTTTCTTTCAACCATTTAGAAAAATTATTAAAATTCATTTCATCGTGGTAGTCTCCACTTTTGGTTCCAGATTTGAAAATTATCCGGGCATTCGGAATAAAGTCCATTTCACCTCCTGCATGGACAATAATTAGTCTCACCTTTATTAATTGGTTTCTTTAATCCCTCATTTGAATTATCACTCCAAGCTTTCTGGTGTGTGTGGGAGGCATGAATGTATGTTTCATCTAAGTAGACAATTGGACGGCCCTCTGCTCGATAACTTTTTAAACAAATCAGATAGTCTAAACGTAGCTTTTGAATATCAAACCTTTCCATTAATATTTTTCTGTTTGTTTTTGTTTTCCGCCAACGAAATCCTAGCGACTTTATTATTTTTCTTAAACTTTCATAGCTTCCTTTGTACCATGTAGCTTCTCTAAATTTAATCAGAATTGTTTTTAATGTTGGAACAATATTTTCCGAGATTAACATGAACAGAATAATTCTTTTTAAAATACCTTCGTCAGCTTCATCTATATCATTAACTGTTTTTGGTTTTTTAATGGTTTTTCTTGGTGATGAAAATTCCGATATCTCACGGTTATCGATTCTTTTTTTCTCTCCAGAAATGCGGACGACAGTGTTTTTAGATACTCCTGTGGCTGCATCAACACGATCATTTACATTTTTAAATGGTATTGAAGGTGAATTAAAGTTTCCTTCTCTTCTCATAAACTCTATAACATTGGCTGTTATTTCGCGAGATTGACTGTTAATCACGCGGCCTCTTAATTTGCTATTAAACTCCATACTTAGGTTTTATTAAACTGTAATGAGCAAAAAACACAAACGAAAATAAAAGAAATGTTTTTGCGAAATTTACATCTGATATTTACGTCTGAATAAAATAGTGAAATACTTGATGCGCAGAGTGTACTTTCATTGCGTAAATCCGTCGGCCCTGCCAACCGATGCCTCTCAGTAGTGCTTTCTCTGTCTAGCCGTCGAAAGCCTCTAGAAATTTGATGAACTGTAACTAATAAAGATTTAATGCAAATAAATAAATTATTTAAAAAATTATTTAAAAATCATTGAAAACCATTCTAAATTTTAGTTTTTAAAGGGACATCTCGTGATATACGTTATGTCACGTGTTGGCGTAATGACACCTAATCGATTTTTTTTTATAAAAATAGAACTCGTATTATATATTTAAAAGGTACCTGTAGCATGTTAAACTTAGTTTCATCATATGTTGTCATGATTCCATCATTTGACTTTTGGTGTCGTGTTTTCGGACTGTATCTTGGCGTCAGTAAGTTATTCGAAACGGTCTTAGGATTTTGATGTCAGTCATTGAAGTAGAATAATAATAATAATAATAGTGGCCTCTAGTGGTGACCTCTAGTGGTGACAAATAAAATAATTTCTGGTATAAAATAAGGTTATGTTTTGTTTAATAACTAATAATCAGTCATAATATTTTATTAAAATTTGTTGAGTCATAATAATGGGCATAGTATTATACGAAATATTTGATGACGATATATACTGGAACGCTATTCAGATTGCTGTGGAAAATCTAGCAGCACCAGTCGATATTATTCCTAACACACAAAAACCAACATACAATGAAAATTACGTATCTCACACTATTCCTGGTTATACATTATCGGGATTCAAAAATCATTTTCGAATGTCCCGGCAAAATGTTGCTGAATTGTGTCCAGCTTTTGCTTCTTATACATGGTTAATTGATAAACAGGAAAGCTTTCTGGCAGTTAGTGACCGATTCGCCTTCTTAAAAGGAACAGTCTATTATATTTTTTTACAGGTCCTCAATGCCATAATAGAATTAAAGTAGCAGTATATCAGATGGCCAGATGCCAATGAATGTATGCGTATTTCATTATGAATTGAAAATCGTTATCGTAAGTATTATTAGCCTATAATAGGTAGTTTGGAAATTATTACTATTTTTTTTTTTTAGATTTTCCTGGTGTTACAGGAAGCATTCATTGATGGATGCCATGTAGACATTAAGCAGCCTGTAAATATTGATATGGATTTTTACAATCGTAAAGAGCGGCACAGTATTATACTCCAGGCGGTATGGGATGATAGATGCATCTTTACAGATGTATTTGTTGGAATACCTGGAAGGGTACATGATGCAAGAGTTTTCGAAATAGTCCATTGCACAGAAAAATCATCAGTCATCCACCTTTGATTCTCTTTTCACAGCATTTGGGTTACTTAAAGGTACCTAGTTAAAAATAGAATTTACAATACTTCTTTAATTCTAAAATTTTTATTGTGTGTAAATGGAGACTTTTAAAATATCTTGATATGTCATTAGCAGATAAAGTTCCAGAAGTTATTTTAAGTAAAATAATTATGAATATTAATGAAGATAATGAAAATGAAGATGTAAGTAGATTTTATACTAAGAAATCTGTAATACGTATTATTGTAAAAACATTTTATTAATTTTCATAAATATAAAATACACAAAGTTATGTTTTATTATGACATAAATCCAAATGTTGTCAGTTTTTGTCTATTGATTTTATTACTTTCTGTAATTTCCAATCGAATTGCCTTTAATTCTTCCAATCTTGCTTCCTCTAAAAACAACTGGCGTTTTTGAAATGAATCCAAACGTTTACTAGATCTATTTTCAGGAGTGGTACCTTGTGATGAAGATGAAGTTACTGAAAGGTTAATAGTTTCTGTATTTGGTGGTACATGTTCATCTGTTGCAGTTGATGATATTAACTGTTTTATCAGAAGCAAATATTTGTTCAAACCGATCATAAAATTTTCAATTTACTCGACCACAGCCAGTAGCTGATTTTTTAATATTATCTTTAATTTTTTTTATAAAAGTATTTTTCATAAATCTTAATTTTTGATCCAAATATGTTCCATCCACATTAACATTTGTTTTTTCACGTAATGATTTTGCTATTTTGTCCCATAATACCTTCTTTTTAACTCTTGGGTTTAGAAAATGTTATAGGTTGCTTTCATAATCATCCAATAGCATAAGACTTTTATGGTCAGCCCAAACAGGATCATGATTTTCTTTAATTTCCTCCTGTAATTGTTCCCCTTCACCACCCTCTTCTTCTAATAGAAAGGACGATGCAAACTCTTCAAGTGAAATTATTTTATTTTCTTGTTCCACCAGAGGTCTTTTCAGTTGAAGCAAAGAACAAATTAAACTACAAATGTATAAGTAAATTATTTATATGTCTGCATACCTGTTCTTTTTCGCACCAATTCATTATTGATAATAACGTAATCGTGTAAAACGATTACCTTATAATTATTATTTTTCTTCATAATAGTTTAATTTTAAAAAGCAAATGTACACACCAAAGATCAAAATTAAGAAATTTCACATTTCAAACGTGAGATGTCAAAAATCCCCATAATCAATAAAAAATACTGAAAATCCCTAAATTAAAAAATTCCTTACATTGGATTCACTGTGAATATTACTTCGTTTACAAAACTCACCACAAAATTTTCCTGGTGCGGATGTTAAGCAACTATTAAAACTAACCAAAACTCAACAAATGTCGTTCAGAGGACCCAACAAGTAACCATACTCAACTGTTGCGTCGGCTGAACACGCCCATTTTTACGTCAATGTCAAACTCGACATAGTGTAGCTAGTCAGTTTTGGTGAGATTAAATAGCTTCATATAAATGATATAAAATTATTTTCATTCCGTCAGTCTTTAAATATAAAATTAGTGACTTCAAATAAATCAAAGTACGACTCAAGTCGCCATTATCATTACACTTTTCCGTCAATATATCGCAAAATAGTGTTTATGTCGTCTCTACTTTATTCTATCTTGATGTATTTAAGTGGTAACCCTATTTATATTTTATTATAGGAAGCATTGTCTTAAATTTGAGATTATCAAGGAATTTTATAATTGTCATAGTGGTTTAAAAAATGGTCAATCAAAGCTATAGTTATTTACATACCTTTAGGGATTACATTATTTCCATAACTTTCAAAAGGCCTCCAAAAAGCCTTTTTTTATGAATCAAAAATTCAAACAGTAATGGATAAACAAACACTGCCCACCTGTGCACACTCAACAAGGCGATGACACAGCCAAGCGTGGCGAAGAACCAATTACAACATAAGTTGAGCAAAATCACAGACTTACGATTGGATATCCCAGTCCACGTGTAGCGGCATTTATAATTGGCTATCGTGTGCTCTGCAAATAGAAATTTAAGAAAGGCTTAATTCAGCCAATACAAAGACGATAAAATTAGGCTGTTCAACATTAATCTGACCTAAAAGTGCAACGATGCCAGGAATAAAATATGTACGCTATACTTGCACCGAATATATTTGCTTGAAGGTTACTATGCGCTTAACGTACACAGTCGTTTAGCTGTAATGGAATTGAACGCATCACTTTTTTTACAGTTTGGCAACTGTGTTTTCTGGACGTCGGCGGTGTCTCTGTGAATTGTGGAATAGTAAAATTTATATGGGCGGTCGACTTACATATGACATTTAAAAATAGTAGAGGAGCATTCAAGAGATTGAGTATAATTTTATTTTTACTTCCCTCGATAAAAGGGACGTATTGTTATCGTAAAAATTTAGAGTTTCCCGTGTTTGGGTTCCCCATTGCGTCGTCTGTCTGCCGTCTGTTGTTTGCCGTATGTCTGTTGGCGCGATATCTCAAAAACGGCTTAAGAGAAAAACTTCAAATTTTATACGCAGGTAAGGCTTTTTCTTGTCTCAAAATCGGTTAGATATATACAGGGTGAGCAGTTAAAAAAACATTTATTTTTAAAAGTTAGCAGATTTCGACTAAAATTGGTTTCTGATAAAATTGGTATGTGATCTAAGATAACAGATCATAAATTACTTTTGAAAAATTGAAAATGGCTTCCCAATTTTTACAATTCATACAGGGTGTTTTTTAATGGTATGCTACTATTGTAGGGTGTGATCGCTCAGGTCATTTTATAAAAAAAAGTTCATAATATGAACTTAGTCCGCAACTGCTTAAATTTTTTGATGAGTAAGTACTTTTAATATTTTCAATTTTAGTGTGTGTTAATAGGATTTAAAACCACATAATTTAGACAAAAAAATTATTCTATTGCTTCAATCTTATCGTTCATTAATTAAATTAAAATTCCTTCATTTTGCAGTATTGACGATTAATTTTAATTATTTTAATCTAGAACCGAGCGGCTGGCGAGAAAAATACAAGATACTGTATTTATGTAGAATTGATCAGTCAAATGAGTAAAAATATCAACATAAAAAATATCAGTGGCGCACTACTTTTTTTAGGAAATATCAGATGACATGTTTGCCGAGATGCCACTGGTAAAACAATAAAATACAATTTCTAACTAAAACGTGTGGTTTTATTTTCTTTTAACACAAGCCAAAATTGAAAATTATGTCTAAACTATTTTCAGAGATGTTAAAGAATATCTCTTTAAAAAATAAATTTTCAACTTCCTGTAGCAAAAAATTGAAGCCGTTGCTGACATTTGTTTATATAAACTTTTCTTTATATGAACTTTTCTTTTCTTTATAAAATGATCTGATGAATCACACCCTGTATAAATTTTAAAAACAGTTCAGCCATTTTAAATGTTTAATAAGTAATTTATGATCTGTTATCTTTGATCAGATACCAATGTTATCAGGCGAAATCTGCTGACTTTTAAAAATAAATGTTTTTTTAACTCATGTATATATCTGACCGGAAGTATAACCGGTTTTGAGCCAATAGCAACTACACTTGAAGACAAAATGACAAAACTCAAATTCCGATGGACCTTCCTAAATAAAGCAACGAACCAATAACTGAAAATCTATTGAGAGTAATCGTACTAACAATTCGTATCTCTAGATTAGAACAAGAGACGTCGCCTATTTTGAAGTTTCGATTACCTGACAATCGTCAAAAGACCAGAATGACATCCAACATATGACACTGTATTATCGTTTTCTGTCAACAGACTTTACTTAAAAAATAAACTATCACTAAAAACAAAACAAAAGATCATAGTTAGTGTAACAAACATAGTGCAATTATGGTAACATAACTAATCAATTATTGTACAACTTAGGTACTACGAATAAATTACCTACTCCTGTCTGTTGATTATATAAATTAAACACTAAAAATGACATCAGTAGATCAGAGACAACACATACCGCTAGATTTACGACAAATAATAGCTTTAAAAGTTTATATCAGCAATCTAGAACGGTATACCTTTTTACTTTCCTATCTGTATACAGATATAAGGAAAGTTATAGGAATCATGATTTTTTTCGACCTCGAGTTTTCGACGGATTTTTACGTTTTGAGGTCCCCTGAATCCGTTTTGACTATTTTCGCGATGATGTCTGTGTGTGTGTCTGTGTGTCTGTGTGTGTGTGTGTGTGTGTGTCTGTATAACGCATAACTCATGAACCGATACACAGAAAAACACCAAATTTTAAACTTAAGCTTTGTTTCAGCGTCCAATGAGCTGATTAGATTTTGGGCAGAGTCGGAACATCTGGGGGGGTACTTTATAGGTGGTCATTTTTATATTTTATGGAATATATCTGTTATTTACGTTTGGAGAAGAAAATTCTTCAAATAAAAGTTACTTCTAATATAATTATCTATAATTTTTGTTATATGCAAAATTTTCCTAAAATGGTCCGTATTCGAGAAATTTGACAAAATGTAAAAAAAATAATTTTTTATAAAAATTGTTCAAATAAAAGTTGTTTGTAATATAATTCTCTATAATTTTTATTCTATACATGATTTCTCTAAAATGGACCGTATTCGAGATATTTGAGAAAATGTGTAAATTTCTTTTTTTTTTTTGATTTATTAGATAGACAGTAATTTTAATTTAAAATCTACTATTTGGAGTGCCAAATATGTACGGTACAATTTATTCAACATCAATTAAAAAGCTGTTGTCTCAGACAAGGTGTGTAACACCGCCAAGTAAATCTACACGCTAATATGCTAAATATGTCATCGTCTTTCAGAATGTTAAGAGTAAATCCATTAACAATAATGTTTTATTCGTTAATAATGTTCTTTTGTAGGTATCGGAAATTCACTATAATTTAAGGCTCTATTTATTTTAAGTAAGAACCTCAAGAACTCGGGCCATATGCTTTAACTTCATTACGATTAAAGTTGTTTAGAATTTTGCATTATAAAGGAATTAACTTCCATAACAAAGGGCAATAAAAGTGCGGTTGGGCTCTTTATATCTTCAAAGGCAGTCCGTCGGAATCATGTTGGGATATATGGCTAGACACTAAGCCCATGAATTCCTAACTCCGAACTCAATTCATCAATGCACT